TCCACTGCACACCTGTAGAAGGAGGTGAGGACTGAGCTTCCCAGACCAGCTCGCCTCAGCCGTCTGAGGAAGTAGAGTCTCTGATGAGCTTTCTTGATCAGGCTGGTGGTGTTGTTGCTCCAGCTGAGGTTGTCATTCATGTGTACACCTAAGTACTTGTAGCTGGAGACCACTTCCACCGTGTGACCCTCCAGGAAGCACTTCAACTGGGACTCAACTATTTTCTCCAGTAGTTTAGAAACAAATGGGAGTTTGGAGACAGGCCGGAAGTTGGAAACAACTGAGGGGTCAAGGTTTGGTTTTTCAGGAGAGGCTGAGCAGCAGCATGTTTAAAGGTTTTTGGCACCACGCCACTGGATAAACTACTGTTTACTATAGCAAGAATGGACGGACCTAGAGTGGGAAAAACCTCCTTTAGTAGTCGAGGGGGGACCACATCAAAAGGGGAACCAGAAGGTTTCAAGCTGCACATGACCTGCTCTAGAGAACATAGAGTGATGGGTTCAAAATGGTCAAATAGAGCTACAGCTTGAGGTGGGATGGATGGGTCATGAGTTGGAGGGGAAATGAGAGCCCGGGTGGTCGCAATTTTTTCCAAAAGGAAATGTTGGAAGTTCTCGCACAGCTCAGTCGAGGCTTCCAGAGGTGATGGTTCAGTGAGGTGGAGAACAGAGTTTAGGGTGGAGAAGAGGGCACATGGGTTGCGAGAGTTTGAGGTAATTATATCAGAAAAGTATTTGGATTTAGCAGCTTTCACTGTTTTCTGATAACAGCGCCAACTCTCTTTAAGTAATTGAAAAGAGACCTGTAGCCTGTCTTTCCTCCACTTGCGCTCCGTCCTCCTACACTGCTGCCTATCGGCCTTAGTGACGTCACTCAGCCAAGGTTCCAGAGTCTTTAAGCAGACAGAGTTGAACTGGGATGTCAGCTCCTCAGTGGTGGTGAGAAACATCGGGGGCTGAATGATCATTTCAGAGTTATAAACATCTGTGAAACGTGCGGCAGTGAAGTGGTTAATGGTCCGGCTGCGACGTGCTGGAACACACGGTTTAGGAATTAGATGGGGGAGGATGAACTCAAACTGGACTGGCATGTGGTCTGAAAAAACATTATCACTAATTTCAAGGTTACTAACAGTCACATCACGAGTTAAAACAAGGTCCAGTGTATGTTCACGCTCTTGGGTGGGGCCGTTTACATGCTGAGTTAGATTAAATGAGTCCAATAAATCTAAAAAGTCCTTAACCGAGGGCTTCTCCTGACAGCACACATGCAAATTAAAGTCCCCAATAATGAAAACATGCTCATATTTTGGTGTGATTTCAGCCAAGAAATCAGAAAACTCATTTATGAAATCCTTAGACCGAGGTGGGTGGTAGATGAGTGCACATAAAGTCGAAGGCGAATGGCCGAGTTCAAAGACGCTCAGCTCAAAGCTGGCGTGGGAAACTGGGATGGGCAGTTGTTTACAGTCAAAAGTTGGTTTGAATATTGTTAATAATCCACCACCGCGCCGGCCTGATTGCCGTGATACATTAAAATACAGACAGTTCGTTGGCAATAATTCTGTCAAGGTGCTGGACTCACTCGGAGACATCCAAGTCTCTGTGATGCAGAAAAAGTCCAAATCATGCTCTTGAAAGTAGTCCCTGAGGATAAAAGTTTTGTTGGTAAGAGATCTTGCGTTGACCAAACACTACTGTCCAAAGTGGAACCAGCAGCAATATGTACACTTAGTAACTATAAAAGGTTCAACACCCAGAACAAATGGTTCATTTAGGGTGTAATGTGTCAACAAGCAATAGGGATGTTTAAAAAGTTTATTTATAAAAGGCTGACATGTTTAAAACAATCACCAGAAGGGTCAAAATTGGGCATGATTAGTGGATTATTAGTGTTATCAGGTAGTTGCAAATGTGTCTGACACTCAGCCAAAATAGTGAGTGAACGTCTGCAGACTTGTAGACACATTAGATAGAATTACCAGCACTTGGTGGAGTTTGATAGGGCTCATGTTGATTTGTGTAAATATTGCCCGGCTTGTGGGACGTCCAGATAAAGAATGGGACGTGATTTTCAAACACGGGATGTCTTGTTAAAATGGGCAAATTCAAATTGGAACCAACAAAGTCTATGCTCAATAATCCATGTACACAATCTAACAGTTTTCAGTCAGGGCATCTGGACAGTTTCTTTTTTCTGTGCTGAAACGTTTCGCCTTCGATCCGGAAAGCTTCATCAGTCAAGGAAACACAACAAAACTGATTATTCCCCCAACAGCTTACTCCAAAGTGGAACAAACCAGTTCTGCTTGTGATAAGATGGTCTCTTTGGTACGCCCCCTCCTCCATTGCCGGCCCTCTTCCTTGTGTTGTGGCTTGCACCACAATCGTGTTCAAGACAGCTGAGACGGTTACCTTAGTTCAAAAGATTTATTTGACAAACAGGAGTTACAGATATTCAGAGACAAACATGAATATTTGTAAAATATATGCATATATTGGAGCATTAAAGAACGAACCCTCTCGGTCTGTGCTCTCCCGGAAATGCTTGCTGGGCGTGTGTTATTTCTGGCTTTTATCAAAGTTTGAGAAGGCTAGCTTTCTGATTGGTTCTGGGGTTGCTATGGTTACGGGTCTAGCCCGCCCATCAAGGACGTTAATGTCTACATTCCACAGATAAGAAGTTTTATGGCTCACTGAAATCGGTTCTTTGTTTAAAGTTAACTTGCTATTATACCTTAGGGATACAAAATGATTCGTGTCAAAATTGTTTATAGGAATAATTAATAACTATTAATTATTACCTACCTCATGTTTATGTGTTAATCAATAAGTCTGTTGAAGGCCCCCAGAACCTGGTGATTCTCTGCTTTAAGGCAGATACATAATAGGA